ATCAATAGATACAATCCATATCAGCAAGGGAGCAAAACTAAACTAAATTCAATTCTAGAAAACAACAAAAAGTGCAATCGTGCATGAGAACGTGTTCCGTTATTGAAGTTCTATAAGCACACCGGGATTCCAACATTTCATTAAGAAACATGTCATGGGCCGGAAGTCTGCACGTAGGAAGACGTGATCAAAAAGTGTGAGCCGACTGAAAAATCTCCTGCATTTTGTTTTGATTTTTGATAGAGATTTTTTTTCTTTTTTTTCAGAGCCTTCTAGCCCATATTGTTTCCTGCAGAAGCAAACCAAACTACATTTCTGCTTGTCCGTTCATTTTTTCACCGATCGCCGGTGGGCTGTAACTGATTCCGGCAATGGCGGTGTTAGTAATCAGTTGGTCGCCATCCATTTGTTCTTCATCAATTTCATTTTTCTATTTTTTTTAAATGCATATGAAATTTCTATAATGCCCTCAAAAATCAGTTTTTTTTAGTTGAAAACCACTTTTTTTCCGGTTTAGAGGGCAATTTGACAAATACGTATAGTTTAGGTGGTGGTTTGTTAAAAAAAATAGTTTATATGATGATGCGCAAAAATCGTTATGGCAAAAAGTTTTTAACCCAAGTAAATACGCTTTTTCAACACATATGCATACTAATTCATGCTTTCTTGTTTCATTAAAATTGTTGTTTAAATATTAAAAAGTTCAATAGAAAATAGTAAATAAGGACCAAAATAGAAAAATTTATCAACATCCCTGAAAAAACTTGGTCTCGCACACATCACCTATTTGCAATGCGAATAACATACTTTCATCGCAAAAATCAAGTTTCGAAACAAAAATTTAAGCATTAAAAAATTCTATGAAAAATAAGTTACGATTTGATAGGAATGAATAACTTACATTGTGCTTTAAATATAAAATTTAGATAACAAAAATATAATATTACGTAACTAAGTATGGATTTTTGTACCATGACTATAAGAAATTGAGAGTGTGTTTGTTTTCTAAAAACTCAATTTATACTCAATACATACTCAAAATTTAACACAATTTTAACTCAATTTCACTATCCTCAATATTAGCATTTATTAATATAATTAAATAGTATTAATCAGTCAATCTTACGTATTACATCAACCTTATTATTACATCAAATTAACTTTAATTATTTTATTTTAAATATTATTTAGATATAAATTCAAAATCCTACTAACAACCAATCATATCACTTTACACTGATTATCTAAAAAAATCCGTTTTGAGTGGATATATCATATATGTGTATTCAAGCACAACAATGTCAAGACCATCTCCAACCCTTTACTCTACTTTAGTGCAGATTTTAATCTACTCTAGATTATAGGATGCCAAAATTTAACTTTTGCCTCCAGCCGTTTGCGCTACATTTTACTTTACATGAAATATATTAGTGCAAAATAAAATTTAAATACAACTATCAAATTAAAATTTTAAATTATTTAACAAAATAAATAATTTTATGTTTATCAAAATATTTTTTGAATATAAAATCTATTAAAAGACTAAAATTTGAAGAAAAAAAATTGTAGCGCGGTGAATAGTATCGCGCTACATATAACACAATGCTATTCATATCTTCAGAGTAGTGCGAAAATGTAGCGCAACATCGGAGCAAGTTTTTCGCATTACTCTGGAGTAGAGTAGAAATGTAGCGCAATACTTTTCTTATCTTCAGAGTAATGCGAAAATGTAGCGCAACATCGGAGCAAGTTTTTCGCACTACTCTGGAGTAGAGTAAAAATATAGCACAATACTATTTAGAGTATCCCCAGTGCTGCGCTATATCTATATTTTATCGCTAGAGTAGCAACCAAAAATCCTCCAACCCTGCGCTACAATCTTGTGCTGAAGTAGAGGATTGAATAGTGTTGCGCCCCATCTTGTGCAACACTGTAGCACCGCTACATTTTTATTTATTTATTTATTTTAAATGCATGTTAATGTACTACTAATGATAAATTTTTGTATAATGTGTATTAGTAAATGAATTTTTATGTCAAATAACTTTGTGCAATGTATTTTTTATGCTAAATAATTTTGTGTTTTTTATTTATTGATGTATTATAATTTTATTTTGTAATATTTTTAATATTAAAATGGTACCATATGAATAAAAATTTAACACATTCAAAGAAGTAGATTTCATTAAATTAAAAGTACATTTATATTTTTTGGGTAATATACATTTATATAAGATTAAACATACATATATATACCAATTTATTTGAAATAAAAATAAATAAAAAAATAATATATTTGAGGTAGAATAAAATGTAGAGATAAAGACTGAAGACGAAACTTGATTTTTGTTTCACTCTATTCTAGAGTAGAGTAAAATTCGCGCTAGAGTAGAGATAAGAACTGGAGATGACCTTATATCTTCAGAATAGTGCAAAAGTGTAGCGCAAAATTGGGGCAAGTTTTTCATAGAAATGTAGCGCAATACTATTCTTATCTTCAGAGTAGTGCGAAAATGTAGAACATTGGAGTAAGGTTTTCACACTACTCTGGAGTAGAGTAAAAATGTAGCGCAATACTATTTATATCTTCGGAGTAGTGCGAAAATATAGCGCAACATTGAAGCAAGTTTTTCGCACTACTCTAAGTTAGAGTAGAAATGTGGTGCACCGCTGGAAAAATTCTAAACTCTAATGTTTCCACTTCATGCCATGAGTGCAATCAACAACCAAATAAAAAAGATAAAAACAAATGCTAAATTGCTGATAAAAAATGGAAGATTTGGAAGGAGACAAAGGAAGTTAGGTTGACATTACAAGAAAATTTTCAAGTCCTTTTTCATCACTTACACTGCCTAGTAACCTACCTCACCAAACCATGGGTCCTTGTAAATAATACACTGTCCGAACCGGATTCACTTAATCTAAACCGGCTTCTTATAAGTCCGGTTTCCATAACTCAATCATACTGTTCGGATTCACTTAATCTAAACCGGGTTCTTATAAGTCCGGTTTCGATAACTCAATCCTACTTTCTCTTACCACTCCACTCACTCCTACTAATCTACAGACATATTACGGATATAATTAAAATTTGAAATCTCCCTAGTCCCTTCTCCCTTTAAACTGCTTTTCTTTTCCTTTTCCTTTTTGGCCCTTTTACAAACTAATAAAAATACTGTAATAGTAAATAAAGCCTAGTAAAAAACGCCACTTCAGAAACTCTGAACCGGCGGCGGCAGGCCGGTCCCTTCCGTCTCCACCTCCTTCATCCTCCGCATCTCCATCACTTTCCGGTGGTTGTTCGAGTGCAGCTCCATCGAGAAAGTCGGGCTGCACGCGGGCCTGTACTCCGGCAGCAGCCGGCCCGATTTGTACCTCACCCCACAGGCGTTGCAGAGCGTCTTCGGCCCGCACGGCCCGGCCCGCCACTGCGGCGTCCTGGTGACTCCACAGTGAGTGCACCTCCTCTGCGCCGCTGCGGCTCCGCCTCCGGCAGCCGTCCTCGCCCTTCTCTTGCTCGGCGGTAAGGACGATGTGGCAGAGGAGGCTGAGGAAGAGGACGAGGTAGCTGACTCGGCAAAGGAAGGGGAGAGAACGGGCCGGACTCGGACTCCCGTACGGGCCCGCTTCGTTCGGGCCTTGGTCTGAACCGGAGTTGAGAAGCACTCCGCCGCCAGAGGCGGCGGCGGCGGCGCGGACCGGTTTCCCGACGGGAATTTTCCGTCGAGGGAGTAATCCGGAAATGAGTCCTCCACGATATGGGACAGCCATTCAAGACTTTCCAAACTCTCCCCCTACGAATAAAAGTTTTATTTTTCCCCCAAAATTAGTAAAATTTATGCAAACAAAATAAAAAAA